CTAGGGTTTACAGAGAAAAAGAGGAAATATCCAGTGAGCGGCAGTTCTGTGGGCGCAAATGCCTTGTTGATGAGGCCAGAGGTCAGAGGAGAATGGCCAGACTGGTTCCAGCTGATAGAAACAACACGTCCAACCTTGAGGCGGATGGGCTACAGCAGCAGAAGAGCACACCGGGTGCCGCTCCTGTCAGCTAAGAACAGGAAACTGAGGCTACAATTCACACAGACTCACCAAAACTGGACAATAGAAGATTGGAGAAACGTTGCTGCTCTGATGAGTCTCCATTTCTGCTGACACATTCGGATGCTCGGCTCACAATTTGGCCTCAACAACATGAAAGCATGGATCATCCTGCCTTGTATCAGCGGTTCAGGCTGGTGGTGGTGGTGTAATGGTGTGGGGGAGATTTTCTTTGGGTCCATTAGTACCAAGTGAGCATCGTGTCAACACCACAGCCTCCCTGAGTATTGCTGCTGGCCATGTCCATCCCTTTATGAGCACAGTGTCTCCATCTTCTGATGGCTACTTCCAGCAGGATAACGCACCATGTCATAAAGCTCAATCATCTCAGACTGGTTTCTTGAACATGACGATGAGTTCACTGTACTCAAATGGCCTCCACAGTCACCAGAGCTCAATCCAATAGAGCAGCTTTGGGATGTGGTGGAACGGGAGATTGGCATCATGGATGTGCAGCTGACAAATCTGCAGCAACTGTGTGATGCTATCATGACAACATGGAGCAAAATCTCTGAGGAATATTTCCAGTAGCATGATGAATCTACGCCATGAAGGATGAAGGCAGTTCTGAAGGCAAGAGGGGGTCCGACCTGGTATTAGGGAGGTGTACCTAATAAAGTGGCCAGCGAGTGTAGATTGAAGTACTTTTTAAATAATAAAAAGCAGATCTAAATAAACACACAGCCCAAATACAGTCCACTTTTCCCAGTGTAGATTGTGTGTTTCTGCTTGACTTAGTTGTGTGTTGTATGTTGTGTGGTCTGCTGTTCAGAGACATGCATCAGATCCTGGACGCATTCGAGCAGCAGAAGCCCTTCTACCTGTATACGGGCCGCGGACCCTCGTCACAGGCCATACATGTGGGTCACCTGATCCCCTTCATCTTCACCAAGTGAGTGCTGATGCTGCTGCTGTGTCCTGCTCTGTTCCCTGTAGATCCTCACAGCTCTTCTCCTCCTCCTCAGGTGGCTGCAGGACGTGTTTGACGTTCCTCTGGTCATCCAGCTGACGGATGATGAGAAGTACCTGTGGAAGGACCTGACGCTGGAGGAGTGTCGGCGCTTCACCGTGGAGAACGCCAGAGACATCATCGCCTGCGGGTTCGACGTCAACAAGACCTTCATCTTCTCTGATCTGGAATATATGGGGTACAGTGCTGTTATACAGAGTGCAGACAGAAGGGGGCGCTGAAATATCTGCATGTCTGAATGCTGCATATGTTGTAAGTGCTGTGTGTGTGTGTGTGTGTGTGTGTGTGTGTGTGTGTGTGTTGTGCAGGGCGAGTCCTGCCTTCTACAGAAACGTGGTGAAGGTCCAGAAGCATGTGACTTTTAACCAGGTTAAAGGCATCTTCGGCTTCACAGACAGCGACTGCATCGGTGAGCAGATCAGCTCTTCTGTTCATCGCTGAGTGTTGGTCAGTGTGTGTTTGACTGTGTGTGTGTGTGTGTGTGTGCAGGGAAAATCAGCTTTCCAGCCATTCAGGCAGCTCCGTCCTTCAGTAACTCGTTCCCGCAGATC